ATCGCTCAAAAAGTCTATTATAACAACAGTGAGATCACAGAGGAGCTGCTGAAAAATGAATTATTTCCCGAGATGTCTCAGGAGGAGTTCAAGGCTTTGCATGAGAAAATGAAGGGCCTCTTAAAGGTAGTTAAAGGCTTCATCCTCGTAGTCACGTTTAGCAGAAGTAACGTTAGCCTGTTAGCTAAGCTGCATCTTTTCTCTGTCCGTTGTGTCACTGATGTGTACAACAGACGCTACTAGTAATCGAGTTTAATCAACAGTTTGTAAAAGAGTTTTAAGAGTAGAAGGAATTCTCTACGTGTTTCCGGCTAAATAGCAGCTAATAACACAAGTATGTAAATCCTGATTGAACTGCCCTAAATGTTCCTGCTCGTCTCACTTGTTGTCAGCAGGAGGCAGCAGGAACATGCATATGATCACTGTTGCTCTGCTGCTGGTCGTGTTTTACATGCACAGAGTCGTGCACTAATGTCAAACTCAGATCCACTTTTCTCTGCCCCATCACCACTGGTTGCTCTACTGTGTTGTCTGTTGTTCTACATGGCTCTTCCTAAAACACACTAAAATGCCGCCGTGCTTGAGACAAATTGCTCCTGTGCACAACATAGTTGGCAAAGAAAGCTGACTCACTCTTTTATTCTTTCTTCAGTTGCCTTCTTGAAAGATTCTTCAATATTTATTAATACGTGTAGTTGATGGACACCATGTCTAGTTTTGTATTTGTGCTACTATGACTTGAACTGCAGCTTTGTGTTGCACCTTAGCTGACTGACCCTCCTCCTCCTGTTTCAGTCCATTGCATCAGCAGACATGGACCATGCCCAGCTGGAGGCCTTCCTCACAGCTCAGACCAAGAAGCAGGGTGGAGTGAGCGCTGAACAGGCCGCTGCCCTCTCTCGTTTCTGGAAGAGCCAGCGAGTCCGGGTGAGGGAGAGCTTGCTGGCTCAGAGCTGCTGGGAGACTGGACTCAGGGGCCTCTCCTGGAGGGTGGACCTCCAGACCGCAGCCAGCCGGGGGGACGTAGCCTACAGTGGCCCGGTCGCCCTGATGGAGCTGGAGCTGGGCAGGGCCGGACAGGTGAGACTGACAGTCAGGGTTTCTTCTGATACTCGTTCAGTTTCACATACTGGTGCTGGGAACCAACCGGTGTGGCCTGAGTCTTCTACTGCAGCATAGTGAGGGATGCTCAAGAGATCCCTGACAGTAGCTGCTAGGGAAAAGAATTTCATTGCAAATTTACATTCCACACCTATGTTTACTTTCCTACAGAAAATAACTTCTCACTGTGAAACGAAACACCTGACCTTTATTTAAAAAGCATTAAACTAAGCACAGTAATGGACTGTAAGCACTAAATTAGTTTACACACATGTAGCACAAAAGAATTTACTGATACAACTCTTTAAGTCTTAATCATTTATATCAGACCTAATGGCTCAAACCATAGGGAGATGCTTTCTACTGTTTCAGACATTCAGAAAAATGTAGTCATTGTTTTACAGCTGTTTCCTGTTTGGTGATTTTGCATGGAAGAAGTCGTTCTGCTGTCACAGCGTCACATGGAGCTCAGACCTGTGTCCTTTTTATAGGTGTGATGTTTTACTCTAGAGCAGCCAGCCGTTTGACACCGATATCACTAGAGCAGACTGTAAGCAGCCTGAATGTTTTGCCTCTAAATAGGAGTGTTAATCATGTGTTGTAATAAGATGCCTCCTTTCTCCTTGCTCTCTCTCTCTCTCAGGAGTCAGAGTTTGTGTGTCTGGAGTTTGATGAAGCTGGAGTCAGCCAGGTGTTGAAGAAGATGGCTGACATCCAAGAGAGCGTCGACAGGATTGTTCACCGCACCTAAAACTCTGCACGAGAGTTTATCTGAGACAGCAGGGAAGCAGTGAGAGTGAGTGTGGCTGATAGACCAGCACCCTCTGAGTGACTCAGACTGCCTCTTCCTGCAAATGGGTGTTGTCTCTTTGGTCCTGTCGGAGCTGTTTTATATCGTTCAAGAGCATCACACAGGAATGGGAGTTGTTCACACTTGTATGTGCCAGAATGGATCAAATGCAGCTTGCGCACCTGCCTGCAGACTCATAAAAGACATACTGTACATGATCTATGAGCCATCTATGATCTATGATCTATCTATATCTATCTATATATATACATGCATTTCAAGATTTGACAAAATATTTTTTCACAAGCTTCATTTAGAAACACTCACCTATGATTCTGAAGCAACTGACCAACAGTGTTTTTACATTCTAAACCTGTCAGAATTCAAAGTTCTGGGCTGTTGTACAGTTTTCAGGCTCTGACAGGGTGAAGGTTCCTCTCTGACCACAGAGGTGGAAAATGCAGCACTGCCTTTTTGAGAAGAAAAGGGGCAATGAGACTGTTGAACTGGTGCAGGCCGTTTGCAGCTAAGTGGTTTAAATGACCAGTTTTAAGAAAGGATGTTTGTGTGATGTTACGAAGAAAAACAAACAAAAATCTTTAACAATTATGACAAAGATGTTATAACTGTTCTGGCTGGATGTAAATGAATACTGAAGATGGGTTGATTACATTTAAAGACATGGACATTAAGAAGGGGTCCCGCTCTGTGTTGGAAGTGTTTTAAGTTGTGCTGTTTGTGTGAAAATCTACTTGGAAAACACTTTCAGCATTGAAATTTGTACAAATAATGAGCTTCAATCCAAACACCTGTAATGCCTTGCTTCACACCAGGCTAATGCAAGCATATGGCAAACAAGCTAGCATAACAGTAGCATAACATGTTCCTGTTAGCATGTTAAATTTATATTCAGCTATTTGGACATGCTAACTCTAATATTAGTGTTTGTCAGGGAACATAATCCACCACAGATTGTGTTATGCTATGATAGTAACTACTGCTAACATTAGCGTGCACCCAGGCTAAATGTTAGCTTGTCGCTCAAATAATCAATCACATTTAAATCACTACAACTGTCTGTACTGCAGCAGATTAATTCCATGAACAATACAAACCTGCCCAGGATATTTTCAAAATGTTAGCATGCTAGCAAGCTAAAGCGTTTAGTTCACAGCACAGGAGAGCATAAGCACAGCTGCGAATGTCCAGGTTAGCCTGATAAAAGGTGACTGACCTGTTGTTCCTATTAACAGGTATTGGATTGAAGACGGCAGATTGTCCTGTCTCTTTAAGACAGTGATGTCAAACATCAGACGGAGCCCACCTGGTGTCAGGCAGGTGCACATACGGTATTTTAAAGTCTTAATGTCCTGTGAGAGACATAATGCTCCCAGTAAAATCTCCACAACTGTCCACTGGGATAAATTGTTTTGGTTAAATTCAAATTAATGTGCTTTTTGATGAATGGGCAAGGCAACAGTGTGGTGGGTAGAGCAGTCGTCTCCCAACCGGAAGGTTGAAGGTTCGAATCTTGGTGCCTGCAGTCCACCTGTCGAAGTGTCCTTGGGCAATAAACTGAACCCCCCTTGCCCCCGATGGTTAGAGACATCAGCTGAGTTGGCACCGCAGATGGCTGCCATCGGTTCTGTACCAGAAACAAATTCCTTGTGTGCAACATACTTGGCCAATAAAGGTGATTATCCTTATCTGAATAAATGGTTTTCATAGCTTATCGTTCTGTGGCAGTGTTCACAGATCTGAGCTGCAGTATAATGTAGAATTTTCTGCTTCAAATACTGAAACAGTTTTATTGTTTGGAGGTAGAACAATGATATAATCTTCCAGGATTTGTCAGTACTTGGCAGCATAAAGCTTTGGGGTTTGGAGATAAAACACCATATAAAGATATGGTGAGTTCTAGAAATGTAGAAGAAATCCTGTAAAAAAGATCTGCTCACTGTCTTTGTCATAACTGCTTTAACCTCAGTGAAATCAGGAAATTGAATCATTGCTTGTTCATCTGAAGTTGGCATCAGCAGCTCCGGTCAGTTATTTGCTGTTGACGGCTTCCTGAGTTAATTTTTAATAAACATTTACCTTTTTGTGTTTCAAGTGTTTTCCTGCCGACGACTAAAGCCTCATATTAGCTGAGCTTTACACCGTGGAGGGATTTCTCATCAGAACCTGTTTCAGTCTGTGTTCGCTTATTGTTTTAAGACATTTGAAAACATGTATCCTTTAAGTTTCTCATCATGTTGGACAAGTAAATGTGACCTACTTGTGACTTTAGATCAAAAGTCAGGATCACCAGAGCCATTATGATCCAGCATACGTGTTCAGGAGCTCATGTTGGATGGACCCACTCACATGCAGCCATGTGGCTATGAGGCCAAATTTAGCAGCAGTACTGTGTGCATTTCTTGATGCATACCTTTATGTTTACATCTGGTTTCACAGGCATAGCGCTGATGGCGTTAAAGCTGGATTGAAACAGAGCCAGAGAGACCTTGGCAACGGGAGCTGTAGCCACGTTTAGTGGTCAGCACAGGGAAACTTCAACCTTCTTGGTGAAGTAACAACTGCACTTCATTTAACACTTGTTTTGCAACCAGAACTGTCTCCATGACCTGCCAAACCATGACCTTACTGTGTCGACACCTGGTTATCTGACACAAAGACGACACGTTTCCACACACTTTCTAACTATACTTCTGCGTTTGTGCTGTAGTTATGAAATGCTTGATGTTTGTTGTTTTTAATGTCCTGACTGTGATGTCACCACTGTTCTATGTGTGTACACCTCTCTATGTGTGACAATTAGTGGAAAAAAAGTGATTCACTCCTGAATACAAGTCCATTTATTTTGGCACAAAGAAGAGTTTGAGCTAGCATTTCCCCCAGAGGCTTGTACAGGTCACCACAGGAGTAATGTTTTACTTGGTTTTTGTATGGATAAAACTCATATTCCACCAAGTCAATGAATTATGATTAAGAAAGAAAGAAAGTCACTTTTGGCTTTTCCCGTTTAGAGGTCGCTACAGTGAATCGTCACACTGACAACTCGCATGTTGACATTTGGCACGTGTTTTACACCGTTAAAAACGGGATATTTTAAATGACATGAAGGTCTGACTCTTCTTTGTTTGCATTGTTTGAGAAAATGACATGAGGTCTTGTGCTGTGACAGATTTCAGTTGCCTCATCTTCATACTGAAGGTTGAATATGTAGTAGATTACAAACACAGCAGCAAGTCTCGTTGCAAATGTTGGTGTGATGCCCTCAGAGATTCCACGGCCCGCAAAGGTGATCATCCAACCTTTAATTGTGACTGAAACTTCAAGTCATAGCAACATAGGAATACCTGTTACCTTGTGTAAACATTTGTAAACTCAAGATGAATGGCTGATATGATATATGATGTGTCTATCACAGAATCTAAATGAAATGTATACCAGGCAGTATCAGGCGAGGACTTGCAGGAAGACTGAGAGTTGTCTCAACGTCAGCTGCAGTGGCAGACACCTGTAGGGAACAAATACATTATGCTTACCATAATAAGAGTTTTAAGAAGAAAAATTATAAAAAGGTCAATAATTAGTAAACACTAGGTGA